TCTAGGTTGTCTAGTGTCCTTAGGTTGACTAGGTTTTCTATTATCCTGATTTTTAGGTTTCTTACGTTGAACCTTAGATGGTTGTCTAGGTGGTGGCTCAACGTTTTCTTTAACCTTAGCGTCATTTTTATTGAAACCTATTCCTTCCTTAGAAAAATGCATGGTGTCAAGGAGCAAATTTAAATCTTTGTGCGGAGTACTAAATTTCTTGACCGTACTCTCAAGTTTTGTGACTTGTTCCTCTAAAGCTTTGCAAGATTCACATTCGTTAGAGGAACTTTCTGGTTTGTCGGTGCTTCTTTTGCCATAAAATTTATTCTCTTGTTTTAACTTCTCATTATATTTTTCTAGATTTTCAAAATCATTTTCAAGAGTGGAGAGGCGTTTCTTTAACGATTTGTTGATTTTAGAAGCGCTAACAAATTCATCATAAAGTTCATGAAGTGCTTCTTGCATTTCTTCAAAGGTGTAAGAGTCGGAAGAAATGGTACATACCTGTTGTACATCGTTGGTTTGGTCTTCGTGCGCCATGAGACAGAGGTTGGCAGTTTCATCCTCGTCTTGATCGGTTGACTCGTCGCCGGAGTCGCCACCCCAAGAGATATATGCCCTTTGCCTTTTGAAGTGCTGAGCATTCCTTCCGCTTTTCGGGCATTTGTTCTTGATGTGCCCGACTTCACCACATCCATAGCACACAGGGCCATCCTCAACCTTTTCTTTCTTCCTTAGAAGTTTACAAAACTTCTTCATGACAAGCTTGACTTCATCATCGTCGCTTGAATCATCCATCGTTGATTCTTTGACGACTTTTAATGCCATCCCTTTCCTTTGGTTGTACGAAGGAAAGGTATTTTCCTTCGGGTTGAAGTCTTGGAGTGCGGTATCTCCGAGCAAGGTTGTTGAGGCTCGTGGGACTCGAGTTCTCAGGTTGTAACGGTTTGTTAAGCACCCGTAAGCTTAACGGAAGTAGTGTAGCTCGAGAGAGTCTCTCGGGAGACTGGATTAGCCACACGTTGTAGTGAACCAGTATAAATCTTGGTGTGCTCCCTTTACGCTTTCTACCTCTTTACTTTTCACGTTCTTAATTTTTTATTCCTGCGATTTCTGCGATCAAACGCTATTCACCCCCCCTCGAGCGTTGGTCACTTATTCTAACAATTGGTATCAGAGCTTAACTCGCGTCCAAACTTAACCGTTTGAGAGTAAAGCGATCATGGGTTCTTCTTCTAGAAATTTGTATGCAGGAATAGGTGAAGGGCAATCAACCACACGGCCACCTCTTTTTGATGGAACCAATTATACATATTGGAAAGAACGAATGAGAATCTATATTCGTTCCACGAACTTCCAATTATGGTTGGTTATCAAAAACGGGGAAGAGGTGCCGATGAAGAAAGTCGGAGACAAGTTGATCCCCAAGACCGAAGACGAGTTTGATGACGAGGACATTAAAAAGGTTGAGAGTTATGCAAAAGCAATAAACATGCTTTATTGTGTCGTAAATCCTGATGACTACCGCAAGATCTCTTGCTGCTCAACCGCCAAAGAGATGTGGGATAAACTTGAGGTGACGTACGAAGGAACGGACCAAGTACGTGAAGCCAAGATTGACTTGCTCACCCAAGAATATGAGATGTTCAGGATGAAGGAGCACGAGAAGATCGATGATATGTTCGACCGTTTTTCCAAGATAGTCAACGATCTCCATGCATTAAAGAAGACATACACCGACAGGGATCTTGTGCGAAAGATCCTACGGAGCTTGACATCCGAATGGCGATCCAAGGCCGATGCCATCTATGAATCAATCGCCACATCAAATGTCACCATCAACGGTCTAAGAGGTAATCTAAAAACCTATGAATCTACTATTCTTAACCCGTCTTTGAATGACCAACAGCCATATTTTTTAACACCAAAGGCCCAAATTCTCTTTTCCTATAAATATTAACCATCCTTGGTCATTTTTAACACACAATTCACATTCCTCTTGCATACTTTCTAAACGCTTCAACAATGGCAAGAGTAAAGTCAAGGACCAAAACCGAGGCTTCAAAGAAGAAGGCCAACACTGACACCACGACCTCTTCTTTATCTTTTCCTTATTAAATATGATTGAATTTTTATTCGTTGTATTCCGCATTTCCCTTTTAATGAATAAAAGTTTACTTTTAATTCTTTTTGTTAATGTCAAAAGGGGGAAGATATAAAGGTTATGCATAGATTGAGGGGGAACTTTTTCTAAAACTAACTCTTATTCAACACATAAACTTTGTTGAAAAGAAAATCGCATTTATTAAGGGGGAACATTTTTTAAGTCTGAAATCAATCCTCCTATGCATAACCCCGTCTTGTTTGCCATTATCAAAAAGGGGGAAATTGTTGAAACACGGGTTTAGCGTGTTTTCGTACTTAAGTCGTGTTCGTTTTTATGACAGGTTTTGATAATGCCAAACCGCCGTGAATGAGACAAGTTGTTGAATATACAAGGCGAGAAATAAATATAAGAGGAAAGCAAGAGAACAAGAGCTAAAAGAGATCAAGAACGAAGACCGTAGTCTTTAGTATCGTTGAGTCGGTCACAATGTGATCAAGACCGACCCAAGCTTTGCACTTTGGCTCTTTAGGCTAAAGCATTTTTTATTGCATTTTACATATCATCAAAATTATTCTCAAACATTCTTAAACATATTAAAAACACTTGGTGTTCGCCCAAACCAAAAACCAAGCCATCCGGCGTTCGGCTTTCGGAAACCGGCATTCGGCATTCGGTTATCGGCGTTGGTTTTTGGCGTCCGAACCAACCAAGTGGTTTTCAACTTTTTATGATTGGTTTTTACTTCTGGGCACATTTAAATAGTTTTCCATCAAAAACTCTTCAAAAACCACCTTTCGTTTTTTGTCGTTTGATAAAAACCACGCGAAACGGCATAAACTTGGCTAGCCGCGGTTTTTACTTAAATGAAGTGGTTTTCGAGTCTTTTTGTGTGGTAATTGTTTTTGAATGTATTTAAATGGTTCTCCAATCAAAACATCATAAAAACCACCTTTCGGTTTTGTCTTTTGGTAAAAACCACCCGTGTACGGCATTGACTTGGTCAACCATGGTTTTTACCTTAACGACGTGGTTTTCAACTTACAAAGCTTGTTTTGACATCACAATACATTAAATAAGTGTTTTAAATACTTAGTTTTTACTTTGGAGAACTTTGCATTTTTCGGTCAGGTTTCAGCACCGGTCGGCTAAGCCATGGTTCTGGACTAGCCATCTACCCAGCGATGGTAGATTTCACCCATGCATGGGTAAGTGATCCCGGGATTCCAGAATCATGCCACCCAGCGATGGGAAGATCTTCCCATCGATGGGTAAGCAGTCCCTCAGCGAAACTGATTTCCAAAACCATGCCAAACAGCGATGGGAAGTTCTACCCATCGCTGTTTAAGCCTTGGTCCAACATTTTCACAAGGAAGAATGCCCTTACCCAGCGATGGGAACCTTTACCCATCGATGGGAACCCAGCGATGGGAGGGCATACCCATGGCTGGTTAGGCATGACCGTTGGAAGTCATTTAAGGCTGATTCTTTCCTTATTTGAAAGTCAACCTCCCACCCAGCGATGGGAAGCATCTACCCATCGATGGGTAGGTAACCGTTGGCTTCAAAACTGAAGAAAAATTGGCTTACCAGCGATGGGTAAGTTCCAAACATCGATGGGAAGCCAATATCCTGCAGATCCTTTATTTAATCAATCCCATAAATCAAGCCAATCACCCCTTAAATGTTTTGATCCGTTGGAGCCTATTTTGGCACTATAAAAAGGGGTGTTTGGGTCTGCTTTAGACACTAAATTCACTTCACAATATTCATACTTTCATTGCATTCAAATAACATCATTTTCCATAGCTTTCTAGAGCCAAATTGTGTGAAGTTTGAGTTGTTCTTGAGTGTATATAGTTTACTCAACATCTACTCTAAAAGAGAGCCTTGTTCTTGAGTGTCTTAGTGTTGTATACACGTTAAGGGAAGCTTGTTTCCCTTGGTTGTACGAAGGAAAGGTATTTTCCTTCGGGTTGAAGTCTTGGAGTGCGGTATCTCCGAGCAAGTGTTGTTGAGGCTCGTGGGACTCGAGTTCTCAGGTTGTAACG